CAAAGGGGCAAGGGCCTATCTAGAATTCCTTAATCTGATTCCAAATATGAACCTTTTTTGAACCGCTAAGTTTGGAAGAAAAAGATCATATCATACTAGAATCTTTCAGGCTGAAAAATCGGAGAAAATGAGGGGATAACTGGGATCGGCACAGAGGGCTTTACATAGTATACTTGGAATACACGAAATATTTCACAGGACTTCCCCAATTTCAGCCGATCACTCGATTCCAACAAGGGAAGTGCTTTTTCATCCATCATGTGAGGTTATGGAGGTAAGCCACTGCCGTAAAACTGAGAAATACTAATGGTCATTATTATGGGATGCGCCATACATTTGAGGTTCATCTGAAATCGTAACGCATGAGTAACTTCACGCACCTGAAAGGAAATCGACATTGGGAGTAGAGCGATCAAAGGTTGATTTCTATAAGTCCAATTATGATTTCATGTAGTCGAACCTAATTAACTGCTTCCGAATCTTCAAACTTCAAGTCAAGCTATGACTACGAAGAAAATTCACACCAGACACCTCATGTTGGTTCTCATCATCAGTGAAGTTCAGAATGAGGCAATACAGAAAAGGAAGAAGCTTACACTCCCACTTTTCCAGGTGGCTTACGACGGACCGGTTGAGTAAGAGCTTTGGTAGGACAAAGAAGTACAAGCCTTAATTTGCCCAGTCGAGACTAATCGGAATGTTATCGGCCGGGAACACCCACGTAACATATGAGTTGGGAGACTGCTAGAACGATGTTGTGCAGGGTCATTCACATTCAAAAAAGTAGCGTACAGCCTTGACAGAATAAACCACGAAGGAGTAGGCCCGGTTTCGGTGTCTGCCACCCAACTCTGTCGCTCACCGCCTGCGACGGGTTCGCGCCCTGCGCATGACTCACTGGTTATAACAAATAATAAATCTTAGAGAAATTTATACGACACGCAATTCTCATTAGAACAATTATCACATTATACGCGTTGTGATTAATCACCGCAAGCATAGGAAACATTGCTACGTCTAGTCATCGCGACACGATAACAATACAACACAAAGGAAAAAACCCTAGAAAAAAAGTACATCGATATTTGGCTTACGGATATTTTACAATAAAGATCCCTTGAGAGCAGGTCAAGTAAACGATTAGCAGGCAGCACATGCGTGCCTTCTAAACACGCCAAGCACCCAGATTCAATATGAGTAATATTTATATATTATACAAGGGGGCTTGCAGGGAGGCCATAGGAGCATACACTGGCATAAGAAGAGCTGGGACGAAAAAGTGAAGGGAAAAAACTTATCTACAGAAAATTTGACCGGCGATTCAATACGATAATGACGACGACACATACAAAAATTCAACTGACTATTTAGAATAAGGAAATTTACAAGTATTTTTTCTACACGCTACTGTACTCATCACAATTATTGGACATATTGAATACACACCAGAGATATGATAGCGAGGGGGTACTTAGGGGGTCAATATACAAATAGGAAAACGTAAGAAAAACTAGCTGATCAAATCAAAACTAGTGACTTTTAAAAACGAAAGATTAAGAAAAAAACTTATGTATGTAAAACACTTCAGGGTTCCAACGATCGACTAGCTTTGATCAACGACGCCCTCTATACCTACTCTAAGCGTGCGCTTAAAATTATTGTAAACAAAAAATATACTCGTACTTAATTGATAAACTAAAAAGCATCACAGCATCTATGAATTCACGGTTGATTCTGAATACATAAAACTAAAGCTGCCAATGTTCAGCGAAATCCACACATAGGGCATGTTCTAGACGATTTACAGCATTTTTATATGAAAGCGATCCAGCAAGAAAAGACGATTCGTTTCCAGAGTTCTAAAACAAACACTTCGAAGGGAGACACCACTCAATGCTTGCGCAATAGAGAGTATAAGGAATTATTCACAAAAAATAACACCCAATGAATAATAAAAAAAAAAAGAAAATCAGTCCACCCAATGGTGTGGGAACCCATCCAATATCCTTATCTCTACTATACTTTACTAAAAACTTAGGAAGTATTTGGTACGAAAAACCCGAAAATGAGTAGAAGAGACGGATGCCTAGCCATTACAAATGAGCTCGCCCACTCAACTTGTGTGGGCTACAATTGTCACCGGCTTCAAGCCATGGGTCAGGTCATCGGCAGCCCACCCACTACGAAAATTTTCAAATGTAATCACATCTCCCTTTTCACAATCACTCCCATATGCTCAAGATGAACCCGGACACGTGTGGATTTTGGCTTTACTAATTCATCGTATCTTTTGAAGTATTCAAAACCTAGGTTGGAAAAATATAATATATTATGAAGTATTCAAAATCTGGTCCGGAAAAATATAATTTTTTAAGTATCACCGTACAAAAATAACCTGATGTATTCCCGGCAAGGCTTTACTCTGTGTGGCAAGTGCATAAAAGAATGGTCGCAGTTCTTCAAAACTTGTCAACATCTTCATTCCACACAGCGACGGCGACAGATTTGCCAGTTCTTCGGGTGTCAGTTTGCCGAACTGAAACCGATTTATACGTGACTTCAAGTGACTAACATGACAACTAACAGTGACCATTACAACAACATAATCAACACAAAGCACAAAATACTTATGAAACCATTCCCCTACGAAACCATGAAACAAACGACACTGAAGACTCAAAAACATACCTTAGTTCGTAAAAGCTTATTTATTCGTCCAGCAAACGGCAGAAACATGTCCGTTTTACTCGTAGCTACGGAATTCACGAAAGCCCAGTGACACCTGCAAGCAAGCAACGATAACTTACATAAAGAGAAGGTTAAATAGTTCCCGGCCGTTTTTCTCCAACTTTTCCATTCTTTTGCTCTGCATTGTAACTTTTGCTCCTTCACAAACTTGCTTCAAATTTCCCTCACCAAAGCTCATTCCAAATTCCTGAGAACAATTAAAAGTTCGAAAATCATACGAACATTTGGAATTGTGCAAGGTATCCAGCGGGCAGGGTGCAGAGGGTTTCAAGCATCTTGCATGCAGCTAAGTAGAGCTGCATCCAAGCATCATCTCTGGCACAACCAAGATCCTCTATTCCATTTCCTTCTGCGCACAATTGTTGTTCCATTTGCAGAAGAACATGGACCTAGACAAATTTTTATGTTTAAAAAGTAAATCTTGAGTGAAGGTAATAATGTTCAATCGGGAAAGAAGACAAAAAGCTGTGTAAAGACAAGTAATAAAAACAAATATGGCCTTACCAGTTCAGTTACCATAATGGGCCATATGCCGACGAGGCTGTTCGGTCGTAAGCGTAGTAGAAGCACTCGAATGCACAGGAAAACTGCTGACCGTATCGATGGTGACTGTGAGACTCGAAGATTTTCTGAGAGGCGTTCTGAAGCGCAAGTGATGTAATTAAATGACATTTTACAGCTCGCTCCTCAATAGAAGCAAAGTCAGCAGACATTAAAAAAACATTACTCTATTAAAAAAAATTCCACAACAGGTCTGACTGACCTTGAATGTCATTCATCTGCCCTTGGTACTGATCCAATTCAGATCCCAGAACGACAAATGCCAATCTTTTGACCGCCTGCGCTCTAGCTTCGTATTCCTGTTCTTTTGATGTCATGAGGCTGAAGGACGCATTCGGTGTGTACGCAATACTCTCTGAAATTAGCAATAACATGAGTAAAACAAATGCTGAGAGTACGTAAGATTCTGACTTGCAAGAAATCTTCGTTCTGGGATCAATATCTCAATTCTGCTTGAACAACCGTCAGTCACAAGAAACAGGAGCTTATAGAAAATTTCACAAGAAAAAGCTCGAACAAAAATTTCCAAAGACCAACTTCAGCCGTTTCTTTTTCGAAAACAACTGAGGAGAACAAATTCTGATAAGAATCTACTTTTTTCTTTCATTTACCTAATTTACCGAATAGATCAGAACAAATTACTCACTCAACAAGTCCTTGAACGATGTTTTGTCATGCGTCATAAGATGGTCTGTCACTATCAACCACTGTTTCAAGGAATGCATGTCCATTTTGAAGAAAGCTAAAAATACCATTAACTCTCGAAGCGAAGGTCAAAGCGAACGTCACTAAACACCCTTACATGAATCTAACAACAGCTCGAGCGTAGTCTTTTTCCAAACGGGACGCATATAGCTGAAGGAGCTCATAGATGCCAACAGTTGTGAAGATGCTAGGAAAAACCGGGAGTTCCGAGCGCTGAAAAAGAATTGACTCAGAAATTGAAAATATGGTATTGAAACAAAAGAGACCCACTTCTTTGCTTTCAAGTAAGGAACAACATTCCCCCATACTGCGTGTAGAGTGGGTAACAAGCGCTCCTTATCGTCACTCTTGCAGACGGAGTCCACTAACTCAGCCAAATTCTGAAATAGGGTAAACCTAGATCCAACATGGCAACAACAAAAACTTCAAGTATTGGAAACTCAGAGAATCAAAACATTACCAACCTCAGCCAGAAGGAAAAGCGCCTGGGTACTGTGGGCTGGATCCCTTTTGTTGTTATTACTGTCTTTCACCGAGCCACGGAGGTTGGAACTGCTTTTCTTTTCCGTCAGGGCGCCCACATTTGTGCTTCCAGTATCCAGAGATGAAGGCCTTAACGTTTCTTAGGCTAGGAAGTGAGTCTTGAGAAGAACCAAAGTACGAATAAATGCAAATAACACGAAAAAGTTTCCTTCAATGAAACTATCCATAAAACATGAATAGGGAAATCTATGACGAGTCTAACAGTCATCATACCTTGTCATAAGCGACAATGTCGAACCACGCATAGAGTTCTGTTCCGATGGATTCACTGACGGCAAAGGGGTATTCAGCGGTGTGTTGGTTTCCACTGACGGACTAGCGTCTTGTGAACGAGGACCTAGATAACGCGATTCCGACAACAATAACCATTACATAACAGAAAAAAGAGAAGGAAACATATATAAAAAAAGATCAAATGCGTATTTGAATAAAAAAAAATACCAGAAGGGATCGGAGAATCAGATCAAGTCAATTTATCGTACCTTGGTCATGCCTGACGACGAGCGTCCTTTTCAACCACGTAGTTGTCTCTAGTTGCCAGCCGACGATCGCGTTAACAGCTTCGGTGAGTCGTTGAACTGCATCTTGCACAGCTCGGGACATCGCCTTGTCTTCAACAATGTACGATGCACCAGCACATCGTACGTAGTCACAAAGGATTCTATAAAGAGAGCAGATTATTCAGAAAACTTTCAAATATTCGAATCTTCTGTTGACTTCACCGAGACCACCATCCTACAGGAAGAAAAAGGATAAAAACCCCGTACAATAATTGCATTTCAAACTCACATGTACAGCAGAAATACTGCACGTGGCGGCAAGTTAGCAAGAGGAGCGTCAGCGAACAATGACTGGAACGGCGACCAACAAGATCGCAATTGAGCTGTTGGTAGAGCTTTTATACATCCATGTACCAACTCAAGCAAGGGCGCTTCAGTGGGGAACGTTGCCTAAAAGATAAAACTTCTGAATATACTCAGCTTCTCGGGATATTTTCGACGTTATCTAATGCTTAATTTGCCAATCGTAGATGGGATTGCGCTTCCAAATTTCATATTCGACTAACCTCGTCATTCATATTCATCAATTCACTACAGTTTCAATTACTTCACTATAGATACAAGATATCTTCAATTACCTTGGCCTCAAATCGGATCGTCAAATCGGATACAGGCTCAAAAGGATGACTTTTCTTAGCCCGAACGGGTGATTAGAGAAGCGGATGTTTTCATACATTTCACTTTACGCAATCACGTAAGAACCACAGCAAAATTACGGTTGAACTAGTGAGCTGTAAAAGCTATGACAACGCGCAGTTCCGCATGTCATTCAGAGTGAACGACTTTTGTTGGCGGGAACTATAAAGTCTAAGGCCATGAAGTAATAGCAAAGCCTGCACAAGCACCTGTGGACTCCAAAAAAATCCAAATTTCCGATTCGTGTGCGATACTTCATAAGAAACCCGCATTTAGATCTTGCCCTTTAAAAACAATGCACAGGCCACTGACCTTATCTCCAGCTCCAATCTTTGTTGCCTTCACTCCTACTTCCTTGAGTGTTTCACTTACAGCTGTTACCAACTCTTCGAACGATATTACTTTCAAACTCAGCAGCAAGTTTGCTATATCGTGTTGAACAGGACTATAGTGGAAATTTGGCTGTAATAGCGAACTATCACGCTGAAAGCTGGATAATTATCAAAGAGATAAAAAAAAGAACTACAAGTCTGGTGTACACATGGTTTTACATCTGCGATGTTATTCAGAGATGTCGAAGTCCTGACCTGATCTGGGTCCAATTTCTTCTGAGGTGAACCACCTGCTCCCGATCGAGTTAACCAAACCAGAGATAGTGCTGTGAGGAAAGCTTGCTGATGATGTTGGGCTATGGGTGATAGGAGATCAAGAATTAACCGTCGAAGATGCTGAAACTAGCCAATCGTGCTTGACTAGTAATAAATTTATGTATGTAAGTTCTTAAACAACGGGCTACGTCCGCATAAATTTGAGAAAATAATAAACAACATATAGTGACTATCACAAAAGGATCAATCCACAAAGAAAGTTTTACCTGAGGTGATCCCAGTGGCAAAAGTGGCTCCTGTTTGCTTCTCACTACGGTCCATAAGTCACAAATGGTAGCGAGTGCATGTGGAAGTGATGTGAGCATATCGTTACGAGCTTGCCGTAATGTCAAGCTACCACGTGAACCGTCCATTTTAGAAATGTTTACGCCGCCAGTCTAAAAACATCAGCTGAGAGATGTCAACTTGAAAATATGGTAACTACAGAAGCAGCAGAGCATGCGCGACTACCACTACACTGTACTACTGCTGATAAGAAAAGCTTTAAGTTCGCACCGAATTTGAATCGCTAAAGCTGAACACTTTGACAAGATTGGAAAACAGTTCAGTAGCACCTTTGGTACCCGGGATCACAGCCATTGCCTGAATGCCACGATTTTATTCAAAATCTTTGAAACCAACCTCTCCTCCCCTCCAAAACAATAGTCCAGCCACTACCTGCCCGACCATTCCGCCACCGCCACCACCTCCGCTACTTGGGGGCACACTACTGGGTGTTGTAGGTTGAATAGTGGACCCAGTAGAATGGGTATCGATCACACAGAAATGTACCAACGTCGTAATTGTTTCTAGGGTCTGAAATTCATCTTTCTTTGCTATTACTCAATTTCAATAGTTTCACAATTTCAATTTGAGTACTTACCATCGTAATAAAACAAGCAGGGTAATTGCAGTCATTCTTCGGAACAGGCGACAAAGAGCTGTCGGTATCTTTGACGTTCGGGTAGCACACATTCAGAGCTGTTTCAATATTCTTGCAAAGCTGTTCAACAACTCGCACCATAACAGTTGCTAATGATCTAAAATTATTTATGCAGGGAGCATCAATAATCTTTTCAATCAATTTGTAAAATGCAATAGATGATGGATGTACCTTTCCATCCATGGCAGAATTTGAACGACGAATTGGAACCACATCTCATGACGCTCTGGACGTTTCTTCAGTGCATTCAAAACGATCAGAAGGAAAGCTCGAAGTTCAACTAATGACGGATTGGGTTCTCGTAGAGTACCTCGATGGGCAGGCGTATTGTAGATCTGCTGTGCTACGGATAGTCGGTTCAACATCACACCCGAAGTGTTCTAAAACGAGGAAATCCTTAAAAAGGCTGGCTCGTAAAAGTGATCTGAGATCGAAACGGATAGAAGAAAGTAAAATAAATAGAACCAAATAATTTAATCTTGTTCAAGTAGAAACCGAAAGCCTGCGCGAAGCAACTAAACCCAATGGTCACAGAATAGAAAATATTTCCTTAGGCAAAATGAACAGTACCATGTCTCCAAATGATGAATATCCATTCTTGATGTCACTTTCAAGCCGAATCGCTTGAGCGGTCACACTTAGCAGTGAGCGACTGTACGCTGACAAAAGTCCTGACAACTTGTTTCCCATTTTAGATATTCCTCCTTCGTTGAACTCAGCAATCGACACAGATAAGGGCATTCTTCAAAAACAAAAATAATTAATCCAGAAGAAACGGTGAGTTTCTAGTGCGCTACTCAGCCTACAATACTTACACTTGTCCTGCTTCAGCACTTGTCCTTGGGTCGTGAACTGCGGTGAGCAACAAATGTAACAAGCATTTTTGCAACTTCGACCTTGATAGCACAGATTGAACGAAGCTAACAAATGGCCGAGACTGCTGCTCACAAATCATTCCACTAAGCTCTCCAAGTAATTCTGACAGGAAATCGAGAGCAGCTATCTGAAATTTCAATGTCTCACACATAGAGGAGAAAAAATAAAAAAGAAAAAAAAATGCAAAAAGCTAAAGCTTTTTTAGGGTCAGATCAAAAAAGGAAAAACATTTATTCTTAGCTCACCTTACACTTCCATGCCATCACCAAATCCGACTGAGTAACTGGGCAAATAGGTGAGTTTAAGAAGAACGATCGTAAAAAGTGCAATGAGATCTGAAAGTATTAAATGTGCATGCCTAGTTAACGACTGAAAAAAGAGGAAGAACAGTGGTACTGGCATAAACAACCAATCAAATTTAATCGACTATCCCTTCATAATGGGCTGAAAAGTGAAATGACACGTACCGTTATCAAGAGCTCTAGTAGCGTTAGATGCCGGTGCTTCGAGACGTCTTCATCACCTGTCACCCCCCAGAAATGTTGCCCGAGAATAGCTCGAACATGCTTCGCCATCAAATCAACAAGCGATACTGTCAGGGCAGGACCGGCGCCAGCGCTTTCTCCATTCTGAGAGGCAGTCCCAGAAGAGACCAAACAACTGAAAAAATTCCAAATAAAATCTTTTCAAATTTCGATGAATGGGGCTTGCCTTACCTCAAGAGCATACGATTCGTGACCGGAGAACCTCTCGGGCATAGCAGTGCAGTCAGTATTCGAAAAGCTGTTTCAGCTCGACCCAAATCCACAACACGTCCACTCTCTCCGTACAACAACATATGCACATGAAGTTCGTGGAATAGGCTTACACCATCAGCGGCACCATCGATTGACGGCCGCAGAAGCTCGGTTGTGTCAAAGGTTCTAGATGAGAAAATGGGCTAACAAAGATAACTATGTCGAAAATGATTTTATCTTGTAATTCTTCCACAAAAAAAAANAAAAAAAAAATTAAATTTCGAAAGTTCAAACTAACTTGAGATCTTTTTCTGTCATGCTGAATATGCTCTCCTGAAGGGAATCCTGACGACGATGCCCTTTCTTGAACCTTTAAAACATGGATTACAGCGCGGACCATTAGGTGACATAAATAGCGTCAAAGCTTAGTAAACATCTATTTTCATATTAAGTAAAAAAGACCTCGCACTGAGAAATGTGAAATGATTATTCGCTACATTCTTTACCTAGAAACGGGATCGGTGACAATGGGGGCCGGTCTATCACCACTTTCTTGCCGAGCTCGTGCAGATATTGAGGACGATTGCTCCGCTTCACTGTCACCAGCTCTGAAATCAAGCGTTTAACAGAATTAAAAGGAAACAGTAGGTGAATGTACTTGGGAAATGTTAAGTTACTCAGACAATGGCTTATCACTACGATGGATCCCACCTGAAGACTATCGCTCCTCCTTCCGGAGGAGCATTCGCCAAAGCAGATTCCAATCGCTGATGGTTATCGAGCTCGCTTTCTTCTTCTTCTATCACACAGTCAATGAGATATTGCAAAGTTTCCACGACACCAACATCAACTCCATCCATGGAGATCGACAGTGTATCAAGAGAATCCTTAAAATCAATACTAATTCCCTTAGCGGCCCTCAGCAAAGAACAAGGCCAAGTCCACTACTAATAAATCCACTCACCGTGTCTTCATCGAAGTTCGGGATATCTCCACCAGTAGCGACACACGTGGAAACAGCTCCTTGCTCAGATTCTGTGGAATCTGCTTCAGAAGACAAGAGGAGACGATTGCGTAGATCATTTTGCCAAGCTCTGCAAGATTCATAAAATTTTTAAACAGCTGATCGATCAAATACGATCAAGGTTCACACAATTCTGCGTTCGTATGAAGCAGATTCCGGCTGTGGCTGAACAATGTTTAAGACGTTCACAATGAAGGCAAGGAACATTGACAGGAAAACACCCATTTCTTCATAGGAAAACTTTGACTAAACCAGTAGATGCTGGTAAATATATCAGAGGTTATCTGTCTTGAGCCTGAACAAACTTCTATCCCTTGATTTGGGTGGAAAGCAATACGAAAAGAAATTATCGATCGATCGTGAATATGAGAACAGTCTTCGGTAAACTGGCAAAACAAAACGGGTTTGAATAACTTTACACACTAACTAAAAAATCGAATAGCTGCCACAAATGCTTCCAAATGAAGCAATACGTAATGAAGATTTTCAAGCACAGTCCAATGTAGGCGCTCCCACATTAGCCTAGACAACGCAATTTCCTACTCAGAAGGATATTGAACGACTTCTAAATGACTTCGGCGTTGAACTACCGGTAAGATACCCTGCATTAAGCAAAAACATGTTTTCTTTACCTTCAAGCTACCTATAAAGCATCTTCCAACCGCTTCGCGCCCTTATAGTATAAAAAATGCTCAAAGAATGCAATTGACTCAAAGAGTGGATGAAAACAGAAACGAATGAAAAGGAATATCGAAAATGAAACAATCAAGAATCTCGAAGGAAAACCATAGAAAAAAAAGAAAGATCGTAGCAATAAGTTGTGAAATCTTCTGCCATGATTTTATGGCTTCTTTACAAATCAAAGTTTGAAGGAAAAAATTTACCCGTCTGTCACCGGTCCGTCAAAGTGATACAGCCGCTGTTTTCCATCAGACGTTACCAACGTCACTACAGAGACATCTGGTGGCATCGATGAAAACTGATCCTTACTCAATCTAGAAAGTGACATGAAGTTATCTGTCATGTACTCTGAAGCGTCCAAATTCCAAGCTTTGGATCATACCTCGCTTCTTGCCAAACGTATTGGATTGAAATCCGAGCTGTTACTGGATTCATCAGCATCGTTGCGAGCATCTATAAAGACAGATTTCGAGTAGGTTATGGAAATTATTCGCTTCGCCACTTGAGTGTATCATAATACTTTACACACCTGTACAATTCTTGGGAGATCGTTGTGTTTGGCACAGTCAATGAACCACGCAGCAGCAGCGCTTTTCAACTCAGTACGAGCTCGTGAGACCGACTCATCAGCCAAAACTCCCAGTAACAGCATAACCGCCCTAAACATCTATGCACATTAAGGGCGGCATTCTTGAGAGCAATCAGCGAATAATCCCATATATCGAAGAATTCCGGCCATCACGACAACCGTCTCACAATATGACCAGTGTAATCGGAGAAACAGGAAAAACTCATGCCTGTTGAACGGTTTGGCACACAGCGGAGGTTGGTCGTCACCGGTTCGTGTAAGCATCCACATACGATGAAATGTCTGTGCAGCTTCTGCACTGATCATCTAAAGGAACAGGCTCCATTCTTTTCCCTCACAAGGATAACCAAAATATTGTTTGACGTTTCTCTGTGCAGATATGGCACTTGTCGAGCACTTCTAAGCCCCATACGAAACTCTTTTCTCTGCTGTGAACTTCTTCTTATTCCCAAAGGCTATCATCCATCAGAGAGAGCATTCCGAGAGAAGTTCAGTATCGCCCTTCAATGATGTCTACCCATCACCATCAAGACATCTATTCCCCTATTCTTTAAGTATGGTTCATTCTAGAAGAAACTCAATCTCAGAGGAACCTCACCGCATCGCTGCTAGTCAACGCAGAAACTATTATATTCTCCATATCACTGCTTGGTTCGTTTGGCCTTCTCGAGTGCAGCAATGCCATCAATCGAGACAATCTCTCGTGCTCTTGGGCGCATTGAGGCGAACCAACTCCTCGCCATATCGCTTGCCCACAGCGCTGAAAGCCATAATCTTTAGGCAGAACACATTCCATTAAAATGTTGGGTGGCACACCTCGAAAACACGTTCTCGCTCCAACTGATGGAGTTGAGCCGAGAACAACAATGGCTTCAGCAGCACTGTTGTTGGAGGCACATCTTCACCTCTGGAAAATATAAAAACTTAGTAAAGCATGCAACACTTGGCAGAAAACCAAGTTCCTAGTTGATTTGAATGAAAAAGCCTCAATAAAGCGTAGAACCTACTCGGAAGCAACAGCCACGGAACCTTCCGACATCCGCCCATTTGCAGCTTCATGCTGCGCAAGGACTGATGAGCATTTCAAATAGATAGAAAGTAATAGATCGAATGCGGTTGTCCTCGCTGATAAATCAGATAGGTCGACAAACTAAAAATCAACGGGTTTTATTCACAAAACAGTATGCGGAAGGGATTTATAGGAATTTCTGATTCTTAGAATTAATATGATAGGGTGAAAACAAATTTAAGAAACAATCCTATCAGTACTGAAAAGGAGTAAAGAAGTACCAGAAAGCTAGAAAAATTTGTCAAAGCTGGGAAATCTTTATACGAACCTGTGATCCATGGGACATTTGATGCACCCACGAGTCAGCATCGACTACCTGAATATATTGCATAAAAAACCGATCCGTTGAATGAATATCTGTGAACTCTCCCACCTTCAAGAGCTCCTCTAGCCAGCAAGGCAGTTTGGGACAGCTCTTATGTTCTAATGAGAAACAGTAGAGCGGATAATCCACAAACTGTGATGTTAGAGCGCACACAGAGGAGAGCAGAAGAAGGTTATTACTTGATCGACCGGTATGGTACATTCGTGAAACCGACGACAGTAACATAAGGCACTCGTTAACACACAGTTCAACAAGCGCTTGATCTGTAAGAGGAATAAATAAACTAATTTTTTCAATAAAAAGTCGAATAGAAGATAACCTTAGAGCTGGGATTGCGGAATCTTTAAGCTATGATTCGGAAAGATGACAATCAGAGCGAACAACTACCAAACACCAACCTTCATCATTCACGCCAGCTACTACCGCATTTAGTGGACGCTTCCGAGGACTACCTATGCTCGATCCTTCCGACAAGTCGTCATTTGGAACTGAAAGAAGTCGACAATTAGAGGAACATAAAAAACACTAACTGACCTTCAATAATAAAAAAGACTCACCAATGGCTTCAATGGCTCCACCTTGAGATATTTCTGCTAGCAATCTCGTACAAACATCAATCATCTAGAGCATAAGTTATCTGTCTCTGCGAGGAATTGATTGAACTCATAAAAAGTACCATCAGTAAAGCAGAATTGTCTACGAAGACAAGCTTTTGGTCAGTGTGAAGACCATTAAGAACCCGTCGCAACAATTTAGGCAAAAACTGTGCACGCAAAATTGGATCCCCATCAAGATTGCACGTTTC